TTTTTTTTTCTTAAGCGTTGTAGCTATATAATTTCAAACATCCTCAAGAGCTATAACACATCTGCAGCAGAACTGGATATGAAGACAAAATTGCTGGACAGGAACACTTTAATTGTCCACTAATCTTCAGATTTCCTGCTATGTTTTAAAAAACTTTATTTGTGAAAACCTTCAGAGTGGCGGACAGCTGGCCGCCTTATGTGGCTAGTAATAAATAATAATTGATAAATAATAATTAAATAATAATAAATACTAATTAATGAATAATAATTAATAAATAATAATTAATGAATAATAATTAATGAATAATAATTAATAATTAATAATAAATAATAAATAATAATAAATAATAATTAATAAAAAAATATAATAAATATATTTAATGAAAACTCTGAGAAAAAGGTTAATCGAGTAACGCATACTATTTTTCTCATAAAATTTTGTCATTAAGTCATTTGTATATTTCTTTCTGCATAAAAAGATAAAAAGTTAAAATTGGAATTAGATAAAACTCTTTTCCCCAATCAGCTTCAATATCAAAATAATCATATTTTAGTATTATTTTCGACATAACAACAGCTTATTTTACTCTATTTTAACTCAATTTTTAACAAAACGCTACTTTAAACATTATTTTCAATAAACTGCTATTTCATTCCTGTTGATAAATTTCTTTGTTTACATTGTAAAAAAATTCCAGATCAAATCACGGTACAAAATACCGACGCCGGTGCTTTTTACTGTAAAATTCATTTCCGCCGAAACTTGTAAAGTAACAAAAAAAACCTGATACGTATATCGCAATTTTTACAGTGATAATTACCGTAAAATCATAGAATCGTTATAATTAAATAAATATTACTGTGAAAATTACGGTATAACATTTTAGGGTAAAAATGGAATTTATGGTAGAATGGATTTTTCGAATGATGCACCCAAAGTACCGGTATTTTATACCATAATTTGATCTGGAATTTTTTGTAGTGTATATTATCTTGCAGATGTGTCTCATTTAAATTCTCGGCTTTCAATGATGCGGCCTTCGAATAAAAAGGCTTAAGACATTTAGTCGAGGGCATCACTTATGGTCAGGAATTTGTGAAATAAGGATAACTTAACTTTTAAAAAGATTTAAGTCTAGAAAATTTGAAAATCAAAGTCGCTCTATGGATGATTATCTAAAATGTTTGGCGGACCTTGTGAGAAGTAAATGGAATGTACAAACTTTATTTACCAAGGCTTCTTTATTTGGTGGTTTAGATTGTGCTTTCTCATTTGTTCCTACTTCAGCATTAGGTGGTGGTTCTTCAGTTCCTTTACTTGGTTCATTAGAACTCATAATGGAAGAGCTAAATTCTGAAAAAAGAAATAAAATAGTGAAAATGTGTTTTATCCTTAAAAAAAAGTCATTTTTATGCATTATCTTAAACAAAAAAGAAAGGAGAGGCAAGTTGTAATAAAGATGAGATACATAGTTCTAAGTGAAAAGGTACATAGATCTAGTATGAGGTATGAAAGTTACATAGTTCTAGTTCTAAATGAATTACAGTTCTAGGTGAGTGAGTTCTAATGAACTTAGTTCTAAGTTAGAATATGGATGCAGAATTACTTTTATTTCAATAGCCATTTTTTTAAATGCTATTACGTAAAAGCCAGAAAAATAGCTTTCCCATAAAGAGCAGCCTATCTTCTAATGCTATATGAAATATATAGTTGGTGAAAATAGCTTCTTCAGGAAAAGCTATCACTCTCTAATTGCAATTTGATGTGAATTTTTTGTCTAAAAATTGTCTTAAAATAACAGTAAATAATCTAGTTTGAAATAAAATATAGATAAACGGTTACAATAAAGCTCTTTTTACACATTAAATTTTTTAGCTGTAAGGATTCGTAAGTAACGATAAATATACAAAGTAAATATATATACATAAATATACATATATTTTAACGCAGTCCTTAATAAAAATGTGATTTGAGAATTTTTTAGTCCTTTAAAATTAGGGAAAATACCTTTGATATAAGAAGCAAGTAACTGTTACTTGCTTTAACTATTACTACTTGAATAATTTGCCCAAAGCCTAGCGTCTTATTCCTCTTACGTAAATCAAGTTTAATGTTTTACATAAATAGTTTTTAATTGCAAAGACATACTGATTGATCTATTGTGTAAAGTTGGAATGTGAAATGTTCCTAGTAATGTTTAAAGAAATATTGAGTAAGATAAAGAGATACGTAGCTAAACTTTAATTACTAAAACAGTGTATTGTAAAAAATCAGGATCAATTTACGGTAAATAGTATCGGCACTCTGTGATCCTGTTCTTATTACAGTAAAATATTACGGAACAAAGAATCTGATATACCATAATTTTTACAGTAGTATTTACAATAAAATCACTGAATCACTGTAATTAAATAAATATTACTGCAAAAATTGAGATATTAAATTTTAGAGTAAAAATGAATTTTACGGTAGAAAGAATTTTAAGGATGATACACCCAGGATGCCAGTACTTTTTACCATAAAGAGGTTAGAGAGAAAAAATTAAACCGAATTTAGTCTGACAGATACTGTTTAAATAACCGGTAACGGCCTTATCAAATCTCAAGCTTATCGTGAATTTACGGATGTCATCATTGATAATGCGGCTTATGGCGGCTTTTAAATCATTTAAAAGTTTTAGCATTAATCTGCATAATGCCTAAATCCACCAATGAGCATAATGAATTGTTAGGGCTGCATGTATCTGAAACAGAAGGTGCCTGGATGCGTAAATATAGTGCAAGATCTATTTTGGACTTATGGGCTAATCAGGATTATTTTCTAATTCATCAAAATAATGTCGCTTAAATTCTCGTTTGTGTGAAACTCAACGTTTAAATAAACTATATAATCGACCTATACATATATAATAAAAAAGCAATTGATTTTGGGTTAATAGATAAGTGGGAAATTGTCAAAAATGGAATTTTTCACAGTGGGATGGTTTGGTGGTTAATGACACTGAGCTGTGGTTCTGGGTTCGGTCTTCAGTGGCTGCTAGAACGCCACACAGCTTTAAGCCAATGGACTCTAACTTGTCTGGGAAGTAAAAGCGGCATTGTGTGCAATGGTGACTACATTATCACAATCACAAATGTTATTGCTCACAAAATCGTATTTTCACAACGGGCTGTTGTTGGAAATCTTTAATATTTTATGAATCTATTGTTAAAAAAAGATAGATTATTTTTCTTATTTAAGTTATTTTTTCTTCAATTCAAAATAAATTGAAAAAAAGAAAACTTGCTGGAGTTTTTGCGAAACAAACTATTTCATAGTATCGATTCTTAAGTTCCAATATAGTTGAGATATTTTTAGTATACTTTCATGTGAAATTTAACATTAAAATAAAGAACCTATAGCGTAAGAAATAAAAATCTTTTAATCAAATTTCAACCTCGAAATTAATCATGTCGCTTCGCAAGCTGCTACTTTAGTAGGCGTTGTGTAAACTTCGAGGAATTAGGTATGCTATTCGGGGCAGTTTTCTAAGATATATGTATAGAGCATAAACGGCTTTAGCAAATAATTTGTAGCTAAAGTATGCATACATATTTAATTTTATGTAAACTCATGGTTATAAGAGGATTATCATAATTTGAATTCTATACAAATGCGTGAACTTCATTTGAAACGCGTCCCTTTCTCCGAGAGTGTTCCGGTATTAACCATCATAGTCAGTTCCATGTTTACTTTCAGAACAGCCTTAATGTGCAATTAGAATTTCAATGCGGCTCGGTTGCTGAACCCTTTCAACGTAGTAAGATGTTTGAGAATGAAATGTTGATTACTTAAAATGTTAATATTTGTATCGGCAATGTACGCGAAGCTAGAACTTGAATAATTCATAAACTCTGCCTGCGTAGATTGAGTATATCCTATTAACTTAAAACTGTGTTTCCACAGTGTTATAGCATAGGAAAATTCTACTCATAAACTTCGTATATTAAATACATTTAAATTAACTTCAAATATCACTTGACTTACCCATTATTGGTGTGTAACCATTTTGTAGTTAGATAGAAGTATAGGACAAACATATACTCTTAGTTTCAACAATAATTAAGTTTAAATTTAATTCACAGTAACAGGAATTAACATAAATCATTGCAAAAATGTTCGAATATTGCTAAAAAAGAATATTTTTTCTAATCAAAAGGGCCAATTTTGGAAATTTGTTTGGTTAATTGAGCCCTGTAAAAATTGTGATGCTTTCTTTCTCCCTTCAAAGAGTGAAGTTAAATCTTAACACCAATAATTGATGAAGCTTAGGTTACACCAATCTGTAGCTCGTTGCTGTGCGTTATGTGCAGCTTTATAGATTTAGCAAATAATTAATGTATAATTAAACTATTTGGCTAAAGTCTTGCCCGAAATAGAGGTAGAGCATATCTTTAAGGAAGGAGTGCTTCTGAATTGGATTCATAATTGGGTGGTAATAAGAACTATATTTTTTATTTTCTTCCCCAAATTTATCCGGTAATTAGTTACCATATGAACGCAAAAATTTCCAAATGAATGGATTAAATACCGTATATTTTGCGTTTATTACACAGAACTATGGCTTTTTTTACCACAAATGTTATTATACCGTACAGTACGGTAATTTTACTAGAATTTTTCTCTTCCGTATCGTAATGTATACGTTTATTAAGTGATTTGTTAATTAAATTGTATTAAAATTTTATTATGATATATTAATACTTCTTTATGTAATCATAAAACTTTCGTTGATTGGCCCAATTTTTGCTTCTTAGTTTTCATTAGAAATAATGTATTGGATATCTTAGAAATCGCTGCTTTTATTTAAACCAGACTGTACCTACAAACTGTATAAAAATGTTTTAATAATTGTTATTTCTTTTCGAAAGAGAATTTCCTCGATTTCTTCCATTTGAGTTGAAAAATATATTTCTTACCATCTAGGCTTTCGCCAATTTAAAAGAAATGTGCCATCTCTGATATTAACTAAATAACACTTATTTATTTTGATATTTAAATGATACTTAAGCGTAAAGATGAAAACTTTTCTTCTAAATAAATTTAAAATGTATATTTACCTTTATACAAATTCTCAAATATTTCGAGCTGCTATTTATTTGGTGAATTTCAAAATTAGTCTTAAATGCAAGTTTTTTACTTGAAACAAAATTGATTTGTATTATACTAAAAAATATTATTTGTACGATAAAAAAATTAAAACATTTGCATGATATAACAAAATAATGAAAAACTATTTTTTTACTTATTGGGAGAACTTTTTCCAAATAGGACAAGACGAAAAAAAACCCTGTTTTTTCTTTAAAATTATATGAATATGTTTTAGAATACTTTGTATATAATAAAAAAAAATCTCCATAGTCTGAGATGTTTTTGAGAAAAAAATATCATTACATTTTTTAGCGAATTGTTTTACTCTTTTTTTATGTTAGATCAAGGGATCGTTGAATTATAGGTTTTCACGTCGATTTGAATTTATCTTTTTTTTTTCTCCTTATCGGTGAAATGTTATGTGTTTTTTTCCTTAATTCTTTGAGCCTCTAATTACGAACGAAAACTCTATCCAATTTTCTTCAATAGTAAGTTGCAGTTCTTCAGATCCGGAAGAATAAAAAAAACAAAGAAGAAAGGTGCGTGTTAAAAACATTTTCTCGCTTTTAAAGAATGTCTTTTTTACGAACTTCGAAATTCTTCATCAGTTTTTTTCTCTCTCTGTTAAGAAGAGTAAAAAACGTGAAATGTCCAAAGTTTTTAACTATTTTTAGTTGTAATGAAAAATGTTTTTTAGGAATATAAAGAAGAAATAAATAAAATTGATGTATGTTTTAGTCTTATGATTTCTTTATTTTTAAATTTAGTTTCTTCCCTCTTGCTTTAGTTTAATAATTATATTTCATCATTGCTTTTATTTTGAGAGATTTATATTTCGATGATGATAGAATGGTTTTTATTCTGGATATAAAACGGTAATGAAACTTTAAAAATTAGTGTATACAACTATAAGGAGCTCACACGTTTGTGCACGGCAAAAAATTTTTTGGTGAAGTTATAGTACTGTATGGTAATGTCATTTCTGGTAAAATTAACCACAATTCTGGTAAAAAAGATATATACGGTATTTAAACTATTGATTTGGTTCATATGATAACCTGGTGATTTCCATCCATATGGTAATAGTTTACCGTTAATTCTGGTTCTCAAAATTATATTTCTTATTAAAACACCTTTAGTAAAATATACAAAACTGAAAAGTAAATTCCACTGAATAAATAGTTTTTATGCCATGCTCTAAGGTATCATGATAAGATAACTAA